TTCCAAACTAAATGTGTAAAAAGTGGACAACATTGGAAATTGTGGCTGATAACATAAAAATAATTGCCAAAACAGCTTTGCTTAAAGCATGAATATAAAAACTGCACTTTCGCTAGGTGTACTGAAAGTCTGAAACTAAAAATGTAGAGGCGGGTTTGTTTGGCGTAATTCTTCTCAAGTTAAAAATTAATAATAAAAAAACAAAAGGTAAAAGAACCCTGCCCTTAGCTCCCAAATAATCAACTGTCTTCAACTTATTTAAGCTATTCATCTCATAAGTTGTAAGAAGGTATACCAAACATTCTAGCAAACTCTCAAAATAAATTATTTTAAAAAAAATAAAAAAAACTATAAGTAATTCTATAAGCTACACCAAACAGATCGTTTAAACAAGCTGCATTTCACATGAATTTGAGATTTCTAACCTTACATTAACATTGCCGAAGGCTAATGTGTATGTGTGCGTGTGCGTGTGCGTGTTGGGGGTTGGAACCCTTGTTACATGAACCTTGCTAATGCAAATGAGAGGGAAGTGAACACGTACAAAAGAGCCGCGTACACTATTGTTGTTCAGAGAGCAGTTCAATCTGTCATGCAAGAGAAAGTGTACAAAAGAGATTTCATTGTTCACTCCATTGTCGACACTGTCTATGCTTGCTACATCACTTCTATCTTGTGCTCATTAACCCACTAACTATTCTACCCCCAAAATTTTAAAATTTATCCAAGTACGAAGGACTTCCAAGGGAAATAGGCATTTCATGAAACACTAATTTAGTGTTTTGCATTCGTGAAATGTTATGAACACATCAAATCAGAATACGAGCGTCTTTCTCAAAACACAAGGGGTTATCAGCTTTTATTGGTATTGAAGCCAAAAAATAAAAAATAATAATAAAATAAAAATAGCTAGAGGTAAAGTTGTCTAATGGGGTCCTTAAGAGGTGCCTCCAAAACCCTAAACACACAAATTTAATCAGAATATGATCTTCCCAAAGCAGTACGGGTTTTCAGCTTTTATTGGTATTGAAGCCAAAATAATCATAATCATAATATCTAATGCTAAAGTTGTCTAATGGGGTTCTTAAGAGGTGCCTCCGAAACGCGAAACGCTAAACACATCAAATTTAATCAGAATATAGAGATTTTTCCCACAGCACAAGGGGTTATCAGCTTTTATTGGTATTGAAGCCAAAATATATATATATATATCTAGAGCTGAAGTTGTCTAATGGGGTTCTTAAGTGGTGCCTCAGAAACCCTAATGCCAGCACCACCGGTAACTCTATATTTTCACATATCATTTTGCAATTAGTGGCATATTGAGCTCAACAGGTCAGTGATATTTCAAAGAAACATCTGCATAAAATCAAGAAATAAAATTGAATGTAAAAAGCAGACTAAAAATGGTTATTATGAACTGTTCTACATCTAGTATTTCGACTGATTTATGATTTTCCATTTCATTTCATGTGTGGAAATCAAATGTATCTTCTTCTTAGAGTCATCAGAGATATCTGTATCCTCTACAGCCATTGCCAAAACAGTATCAGATTTGGGTTCATCTTACAAGAGAAGATAGATTCAACATATGGATCATCAAGTCTGAATCACGAGACAGGATAAACTCCAAAATTATCAAACGAAGATAACATGTTTAAGAGTCTCCACCTAAATCAACCAAACTATGTCTTGTGTCCCAATCAAGTGGAAGAATCTACATAAATATTTTTTGCCATTCAACTCTATTAAAGGCAACATGGTAAGTTAAATTAAATACATTCGTATCTTTTTCACTACTGCACCCCATGTCAACTTAGGTCTTTCTCTCCCCCTAACATCTCAATTTATGGTGATCCTATCACTCTTCTTTACTGTTGCATTTATAAGTCTTTGTTGTACATGACCAAACCATCTTGACATATTCTCCCTCAACTTTAAAGGTTGGTACTTCTAACACTTCATGAATATATTCATTTCTATTCTATCTTTTCTAGTCGTATCAGATGTCTATCTCGTATTTTAAAAAGCTCTAGGCGCACTAAGAAACTAAGTTCTCCTGGAGCCTAAGTGTGAGGCGCAAGTTGTAGAAGATAAGCAAAATTTTAATATAAGCAAAGTTTCTAACACAAGCAAATATTTGTAGAATTTCAAAAATCATAGAAAAACATTAAATATTCCAAAAATTATAAAAATAACATTCAACCTTACTTTACCCAATGTTTGATAGCTTAGTGGTTTTAACATTCAACCTTACTTTACCCAATAACCTTACTTAAAAATAATTTGGTGGTTTTAATTTTAAATCGGAACAAAATTGTTCAATAGCTTCGATCATTGGCCCAACCCAATATTATCATAATTCACCAAGTTATATATCCATCTCACAATCTTAGAGCTTTTGCTCAATGCCTATGACTTTTTATTTAATATAAAAATTGGGGCTCAAAGCATGTGTCTACATTTTATATTAAGAGCAATGATTTAGACCCCCACCCCCACCCCCACAAGATCCACACAAATCTAGATCACTCATGATGTGGACCCCACACATATATGAGTGAGCCTCACACATACACGGAGGGTTAGGATCACTTTGGGGGTGTGGGGCTCATCTCCAAAAGGGGTTCCAAACATTTTTCTTATATTAAACGGGTTGTGATTCCATGTGGCTACACACAAAGAATAAGGCTGGAGCAAAAATTTTAATGACGCATGAAGCGTGTGCTTCATGCCTGAGCCTAAGGCTCACTCAAATGCCCCTTTCGTACAGCGTCTTGCATCAAGCTATCCGAAGTACATCAGGTTTGCCTCGCCCCTAAGCGCGTGCTTTGGCACCCCTTTTAAAACACTGCATCTATCTAAGCATTCTCATCTCACTTACACTCATTTTAAAGGTCTCTACATCCCATTCTTTTATTGAAATCACGCAAGGAAGTAAGACTGAAGGACCAAACATTTTGCATATTCAACTGTAACAGACAATTTAGGCACAGTGCACACTTGCAGATAATTAGGTCAAACATAATAAAATAAACTACATTCCTATATTTGAGGGAGATCCAATTTTCTGGATGTCAAGACAGCAAGAAACCACAAAAGTAGACATAAATGATTAAGAAAATATCCTAGAAATTAGCATTACTTTAAAGGGTCTGACACAGCAAAATATATATATTATTGCTAACAATATAATTATGCTAATCTGGCACGTAAACGTGGTTACTAATCCGACACATAAAGGTGGTAGAGACGTTCATAGTTCAACTCCTACCTTTGTATGCATGTACAGCCCAAACTTATCTCATGGCAGCTCCAAGCACCACGTGCAATAAAGTTTTGTGCTCCAATTAGTCGACACTGGATATCGAGGTCAAAGTGCATGTTCAGATTAGATATCTTTATATTATCAAGGAAAACTAAAAACTGGAAATATAGATTGTATTAAAGAATAAATGAAATTGATTCATGTCCTGCCGATGAGTCCTACAAATAACAAATATATATATATATATATATAAAGGGCATTATCCCATTGATTGAGGGTGTTACTTATCAACTCAAGATCTTACCTCTATCCCAAACAATGGTCTCTAGACATATAAACATACAAATGCAAAACATAAAACAATATCTTGAAACATTGTCAAATAGATCTAAGTATATAACATATTGATGCTAATGCTATAAGATTATAACAAATATTTAGACATTAGTCAATTCCAATAACAAATGCCTCTAAAACAGCTCAAACTTATCAAGAATATTCTTTGTTCACTTGAGAACAAATAAATTGGATTATTTGGTCAAAATTGCATTGCGGCTGAGCCAGTTTATACCAGAGTTCTGTAGAATAGATATCAATAGTAGACCTTATCCCAATTAATTTAATAATAGGTGACATTCATCCACATGAGGCTACTATAAACCTTCCCACTTGCTCACAAGCCCAAAATATATAAAATAAATATATAAATAGTAGGTTATAAACTCATTCACAGCTAGTGGTAAAACAAGGAATTTTACAGAACATTGAATACTAATCTGGTTTTTGTCTTGATGACTATCAATAGTGACTTGAGGAGAAAAAAAACAGGAATTCACTACTAGCGGTAAAAAAGGAATTTTACAGAACATTGAATACTAATCTGGTTTTTGTCTTGATGACTATCAATAGTGACTTGAAGAAAAATAAATGCTGGTTTTGAGCATGGTACCTATCAACAGTGACTCAAAGAAAAAGATATTAAATAATGTAATTCCACTTGCCTGCCCTTTCTTGATGGGGACATCAGGGGATAACCAACCAGAGATGCTTTCTGCAGCAATGTGTCAGTGTATTAACGAAGCGCAAGTTATCATCTCTGCATGGAATAGAAAAAACCATGGAAAAAATAAAATCTGGTGCAGCCATCATACCTGTGATTTTCGCATGTAACTGCCGCTCTGATGCTGAAAATTTGTCCAGACCCATCTGGATTGTACTTCATAAGGCCTGTGGACCCACGAAGACTGCTAATCCTAATATATATTCATTAAATCAAATTTATTATTTGTCATTCCGAGTGAAAGGTAATTACTTTGAAAAGACACAAATGAATTATCTAGTGTCTTCTGATTAAAATATAATTATATAAGTTGGGTATATATACAGCTCACCTACTTCCCAGAAGACTCCAAGAAAGGAAGAGGACTCAGCAGGTAACCCCTGGTTGAATAATATTATGTTAAAAACGTTCTAAAAAGTCATTATGTAGTTTTCAGTTCTATATTTTAATTCCTTTCATTATTTTATTTGAACTTTCTGTCAACATTGTTCATGAAGTTGTATATAAGTACCAATAAGAGCGATCATCAATTCACGAGAGTCAAAAGTAATCTTCCCCCAAAAATAGCATCAAAAGATGATGCAACCAGAGCTTCTTCAGCAGCCCTCTCGGCCATTCTACTACATCACAAACACTCCCTATGACCAACTTGGACCATACGAAGGTCTAGAAATGGATGGCCATATGGATGAACAAGAATTCTCGTTCTCATTCACCACCATTGAGGACTCCTCTCAGACTTCCTCAGACCAATTTCTCACAACCATATTCTCGAATGAGTTTGTTGAATATTCCATGTCAGGTGATGAATTGCGATTCACATCACCGATGGAGAATATTGCAGATGATATGGAGGGAATTGAGTCTATTTTGGATAGTGAGCTCGAGGATATGTGCAGATGGTTGACTGAATGTGAGGGTGAGGGAAGTTTTGCTTCACAACCCCTGTTTGTGGAAGGGGAGGATGTCTGGAGTCCTAGCCAGTCAACGAAATCCAGTGAGGCTTCGATGGTCATGCCATCAGTACTAACCAGTCTAACCTTGCCAGGACATGACATTGAAATAGACAGCCAATTGAGCATCCAACATCTACTCAAGGCTTACGGAGAAGCCATGGAGATGGAACACAAAGAGCTTGCAGAGGTGATTGTGAAAAGCATAATCGAGAAAGTCAGTCCAGTTGGTGAAACGCTGGAACGACTTGCATTCAACTTATTCAAATATGGGGGGCAGCAAGGACAGTATCTAAAACAAGAGTCGAGCAAGAACTTGAAGACAGCATTCAAGGCATTCTACCAAAACTTCCCATATGGGAGGTTTGCTCACTTCACAGCCAACTTGGCTATCCTTGAGGCTATGCCAGCCAATGCAGAGACAGTACATATAGTAGACTTCCACACAAGGGAGGGGGTTCAATGGGCACCAATGATTGAGGCTGTTGCCCAGCTACGAAAGGCATTAAGAATAACATTAATAAAATCAGGCGAGGACTGTGGCACTGATTCCTCAAACTGGAGGTTCGAGGAAACACAGAGGAGACTCTGTGACCATGCACGATCATGTGGCCTAAACTTGAAGGTGGAAGAGGTGAGAATCAAGGATTTAGCGACTGACATTAAAAAAATGAAGAAGATTGGTGAAGGGAGAGAATGGCTAGCCTTTAATTGCATGCAGGGGCTTCCACACATGGGGGAGCGAAGGAGTAGAAGCCATGTCATAGAGTTTCTAAGGGTGGCTAAAGAATTGTTAGCCGATTCTGCAACTTATGAAGGAATCATAACCATTGGTGATGGGGATGCAGGGGAGAGATTGAAAAGTTGCATTGGATATGGTCTGTTCTTTGAAGGGTATTTAAATCATTATCAAGCCCTATGTGAATCAATGGAATGGAACTTTCCAGTTTATCTTGCAGAAGCACGAATCGCCATGGAGAGTCTCTTTGTCGCACCTTTTGTCTCTTCTATGTCTTGGCTTCAAAAGTGGGAGGAGGTAAGAGAAGGTTCCGATCTTCATGCAGGGATAGGGTTGAAGGGTCTGAGACTAACCAAAGAGAATTTAGTGGAAGCCAAAGAAATGGTCAAAGAGGGGGAGAGTTCATATGCAGTCAAGATCGAAGGACAAAACAAGAATGAGATGGTCTTGGAATGGAGAGGAACTCCATTAGTGAGGGTTTCTACTTGGAGATGAATAATTGACAAACCAAAATAGAGGGCAGCTATGGAAGATTTTTTTTTTTTCTTTTTTTTCTTTCAGTAAATATGTTTAGACAAACATGATATATTTATTATATGGTATATATATTATTTATGTGAATATTGTACAAAGCAACATTTTAAGTTAAATAATGATATGAAAGACATCATTGTCTAGTTGCAGTCACTTCGGTTTGTGTATTTTTTTTATTTTTTATTTTTTATTTTTTCACATGGAAATATATATTTACAAAGAACTCTCACAAATGGGAGAAAAAGACACTTGACCACTTTAATGAGATGCAAGGGTTCAGGCCAACTGGACCAGCCCTATTTTAATTGGTAGCAACTTTCAATGTTGATTTTACGAACTTTCCTCCCTAGACACAAGCATGGTAGTTAAAATCAGATTCCAAGTGAGATTGGTGAGAAGACTCGTAGATCAGATCGAGCATCGTAAGATTTTACTTCCTATAAAAAAATATAAGGTAAAAATACTAATAAAGATGACTCATATTAAGAACAAGGTAAAAACTCATCAGCCTAAAGATCCTAGCTACGATCTCACCTATGATCTTATATGATCCTACATGATCCCACACCATCCTACTTGCAATCTTGCTATAATACCAATGTAACAACGATTTCGATCGTTTTGGCAATTTAAGGTCGTACAATCCAGAATGCAATTTTGATAATGTAGAAATTTAATGTATAAAGAGAAAAAGAGAATTGTATTATTGATTGATGTTTGTAATTGTTTTTTTTGTCTATTACAAATGGTTCCTTATATAGATGTAGGTGTAGTGGATGGTGTGTAGTGGATGGTGATAATGGTGTAGTGGGTTAGGTTTAGTGGAGTTAGTGGTGTAGTGGGTTAGGTTTAGTGGAGTAGGTGAGGTGGTAGTGGTGGTAGGTGATGGTAAATTCTAACAGCCCCCCGCAAACTCAAGGAGGATAGAAACTAACCAACTTGAGTTTGAAGAGAGGAACAAAACAAGAAAATACATAAAAATAAAAAAAGATAGGTGACACTGTATGGTCGTGTCAGACCATTGGTGAAGACACTGGATGGTGGTGTCATAACGTTGTAGAGGACACTGTATGGGGGTGTCATAACCATGTAGAGGACACTGTATGGGGGTGTCATAACCATGTAGAGGACACTGTATGGGGGTGTCATAACCATGTAGAGGACACTGTATGGGGGTGTCATAACCATGTAGAGGACACTGTATGGGGGTGTCATAACCATGTAGAGGACACTGTATGGGGGTGTCATAACCATGTAGAGGACACTGTATGGGGGTGTCATAACCATGTAGAGGACACTGTATGGGGGTGTCATAACCATGTAGAGGACACTGTATGGGGGTGTCATAACCATGTAGAGGACACTGTATGGGGGTGTCATAACCATGTAGAGGACACTGTATGGGGGTGTCATAACCATGTAGAGGACACTGTATGGGGGTGTCATAACCATGTAGAGGACACTGTATGGGGGTGTCATAACCATGTAGAGGACACTGTATGGGGGTGTCATAACCATGTAGAGGACACTGTATGGGGGTGTCATAACCATGTAGAGGACACTGTATGGGGGTGTCATAACCATGTAGAGGACACTGTATGGGGGTGTCATAACCATGTAGAGGACACTGTATGGGGGTGTCATAACCATGTAGAGGACACTGTATGGGGGTGTCATAACCATGTAGAGGACACTGTATGGGGGTGTCATAACCATGTAGAGGACACTGTATGGGGGTGTCATAACCATGTAGAGGACACTGTATGGGGGTGTCATAACCATGTAGAGGACACTGTATGGGGGTGTCATAACCATGTAGAGGACACTGTATGGGGGTGTCATAACCATGTAGAGGACACTGTATGGGGGTGTCATAACCATGTAGAGGACACTGTATGGGGGTGTCATAACCATGTAGAGGACACTGTATGGGGGTGTCATAACCATGTAGAGGACACTGTATGGGGGTGTCATAACCATGTAGAGGACACTGTATGGGGGTGTCATAACCATGTAGAGGACACTGTATGGGGGTGTCATAACCATGTAGAGGACACTGTATGGGGGTGTCATAACCATGTAGAGGACACTGTATGGGGGTGTCATAACCATGTAGAGGACACTGTATGGGGGTGTCATAACCATGTAGAGGACACTGTATGGGGGTGTCATAACCATGTAGAGGACACTGTATGGGGGTGTCATAACCATGTAGAGGACACTGTATGGGGGTGTCATAACCATGTAGAGGACACTGTATGGGGGTGTCATAACCATGTAGAGGACACTGTATGGGGGTGTCATAACCATGTAGAGGACACTGTATGGGGGTGTCATAACCATGTAGAGGACACTGTATGGGGGTGTCATAACCATGTAGAGGACACTGTATGGGGGTGTCATAACCATG